GCGGAGATGCAGCAATTAAATCTCAGAATTGTAATGTTTGGTGCCTCCGGTGGCTTGGGAAGGCCTTCATCCAGCAGTGGGCTGACCTTGGCCAATAATGACGATAAACTATGTGCATTCCTGAAAAACAACGAGGACCTACAGTGCTCAATATGCACGTGGTTTTGTTTCCAATACTAAGCATAGACACATGTTTGGAACGTATTTTGCCTTTTAAGCGCGTTTCAATTGTTCTGAAGCCAAGTGGTGTTTGAAAAATCTTAACACCTGTTTCATGGCCAGGAAGGGTAGCCTGTTTTTATTTTTTTTATCAGTTTTTATACCGGCAAAAAAGTACCATAGATATGGAACTTCCCATGTCACCCTGCATCCATGCAAACAATAACAACACGAAAAACGACAATAACCAGAAAAACGGTGGCTATGTCATCAACTTTAAAGAAAGCAACGTGCATTAGGTTACTGCGATAAACAGCCCTAACAGCGTATACAGACGCGTGCAAAGGATAACACTAATTCTGCTACCGTCAGTGAATCTACTGAGAAGCTCATTCCCCTTGATGCGTAAGAGGATTGCAGATGACGCTAATCTAGCACGAGCGAGGATCTTAGCACACCGCTCCTACTCTTCGTGCTCCTCACATCGTCTCGTAACTGTACTGTTCCATCTGCCAAGAGAACCCTGTGTCATTGTTGAGAAAACTAGCTGCTGGACGGGGGCCTTTCTTAAGCGTGTGCAGGTCACGAGTGTTATTTGTCCATACTTTACCACGCTGGTCAATGCGAGGAGCACAGACGTGGAAGCATAGCAACACATTACAACGATAGTTCTGGAAAAAGTGGTATACCCTACCGATAATGAATAAATGTGCGAGGCGCAGAACCACAATGCACGGGCAGCAAGACACGTTGTGCCCATGCAATGGATTGTAACGATGTGGAAATTATCATATTAAGCTCACAAACAACAAAACATTGAATCGTACCCACGATAATCTCTCCGCTTAGGGTCGTATAAGTTGTATGCTGCTATATATTGTTAAATATAGTGGGATCGGCAAGCAAATTTAATCGTGACCCTCCATTGCCACAAGGATGACAATCATAACATTTGAATGTGCGTACATTTCTGCAGACGCCAAGAAAATTATAATTACATAGGGGACAATATTGGTGCATTGTCACACATTGTATGCATGTATGTTGAACTTTTTTCTCACCGGACATAGCCAACAGCGCTAATCGGAGGTGGGGGAAATCGTCACACATATATTGTTGTCGAACATCCACTGGCGTGCATGCAAAATCAAAACGTATCTCTCAGTCAGCGCCAACGGTACACGCTCGAAAGGTGGAATGTGCGTAAAAGCCTTCGCATAAAAGTGCCATCGAGCTGAAGCAACTCGGCCGTAACCAACACCAGAAGGGAGCGACCGGCGGCCATCCGTTGACGAGCGAACGATTGCCAAGAGGCGAAAAAATAAGTGGAGGGAGATTAATAGGAGACGGCCCTGAAAGTAAAAATAATAATACAACGCGCTTTTATCGCCTCAAGACAGGTGTTGCGATCACCAACACTGCTGAACAACAGATAGTCAACCTTAGTTTCAAGCACATGCTGGGGGGGCAAGCCATACTTTTTAGCAAACAATAAAGCGTGCTGTGCTTTTTGCCCAGTTTCAAATAACATTAAATTAATCCCCCCTCCACCACCACGCATCGTTATTTGCGTGAATGTTCCCATTAACTAGCTGTATTTGACCTTCGTGCCTCATAAGGACGAGTTATGGACGAAGACGTTCCCGCACACCCCTTGCTGGTTATGGGGGGGGGGGGGGGGTGTATTGGTTGTCCATACTCCACCGCACGGGTCTACGCAGGTTGGCTACATGGGGTGGTGGAATCGGGAGCGGATCGAACATCGCTCGCCGATCGATGTTGGAGCACGCGGATCGCCAGGTTCACAGCGCAGTGTGCGAACACTCATGCCACTCACACTACCCAACCACCCTACCCCAAGCAGGGAGCGGCACTATGCCGTACTCCAAGGTGCAACGACGCAGCAATTAATCAATTGACCTGATTGTTTAAGCTCACGGAAAACATAAATCAAATCGCGCGTGTGAGAATCGATGTGTCTGTGTATACGTACTTTGGATTGAATGGGTTGACATAACCCCTGTAAGCCATGAGGTAAAAAAAATGTGTGTATATAGTTCAATCGCAACCACTCAGATTTTCAAGCGGGCCCGACGCATCACACGTTTAATATAAATGACTCGTATACAAACCCTGAATATGTTTGCACATGAGCAGTAAGTAAAAAGCCATTACCTAGCCTGCAAAGTGTTGTAATGCCGTAATTACGTCCGCAAGAATGCGTTACGTGACAGTTCGCACAGCGGGTGCATAATGCATAGGCGCGCACGTATAGCGTTGCAGGGGGCACGTCTGCGGCACTCAGAGGAAATCATTACGTGACGGGACCCGATTCAATACAAGCGCATCAATAGTAGTTTTACATATTGTCCTCAATTGAGCAGCGAGTAGGCTTGCCAGCTCATTGGGGGCGGCCATCGGGAGGTGGCAGTGCCCTTGCAATTTCTAAAATCCTAGATGAAAGGAGAGGTAGATGGAGTGACACAAGAGGAACGCAAACAAGAAACAATGGTGCGGGGAGAGAGATGCAGACAGAGGGGAGTTTGTGCCCTTCACGTTCACGAGGGCTTTATTTTGAGATTATATTTCGTGCACCTTTCTTTTCATCAATCCGCACGCCCCCCCCATGCCCCCCGCCCACCTTGAGGTGCTTAGAGCCCCCCTAGTTTTTTTCGTGGTTCGCTGACCGTTCTCCCTTCGAAACTACACAAGGCAGCCGTCACATGCCGGTTTGAGTGGTTGGATCGCTGCCAAGCCAGGCAGGAAACGTGAGTGGCTTCGGTTGCGTGGCGACTGCACGGGGGGTGGGGGGGGACGAACCACAGAGATGGTGGTGGCACAGTGGATCCAAGGTGGGGCTGAACGATTAATCGATTTCAAATCGAAATGGCAATTTCAAAACAATGCGGTGAGCAAATCGCAAAGGCCGCGATTTTTTACGATTTGAAAAGTCCTGTTACTTTCTTGTTGGGACTTTTTTATTTTCTATTATTATAACTTTATTTATTTAACTTAACAATTGTTCTATGTTTGATTGTTCTATTTCAATTAAAATATTTTAATAAATACATGTTGGAAGCAATTAATATATTTTAAGCTTTTATCCTTGCATTAGCATATATAGAGCAGTTCATATTTTGATTGTATCACAGTGAATCTTGAACTAAAGCTTGACTTTAAAAAATTTAATCGCAAATCAAATTGCGATCGCAATATCTGTAAGAAAAATCGCAATTAGATATTTTCCCCAAATCGTTCAGCCCTCGTCCAAGGTGGGCTGCTGCATTCGCCAAATTTTTTCCGCACCCAGTGTGCCTTGGAGAAGAGTCCAGGTGCGAGGCGCAAAAGGGCACGGTGTTATTATGGTTGGTCTGTCGTCGTCGATGATGACGATGGCCAGCGGAATTTGGGTCGAGTCTTTGCCATGAAGATGAAAAAAAAACATTCCCGCAAAAATTTGAGCGCCCAGTGTCAACTCAGCATTTAAATTAGTCATTAAAATTTAAAAATGTTGACGAAATGAAATCCACAGACTTGGAGTCAAATTCCGCAGGTTGCCATCGACGAGGCGAAGATTAAAGACTTCAACTGCCGATTAAATTAGCCCCGGCAACTAATGAAGGCAAGTTGTACGAGACGTTAATTCATGTACTTGTATACGCACAGCATCTTTGTCAATCCGCTGCTGGATGAGGGCCTCCCCACTATGTGCAGGTCGTGCAGTTGTTGAGCATATTTCGATTTAAAGCTTTCGTGACTGCAGGGATTCATCTTCTTGGTTCTTTCGGTAAAGTTGAGCATACTTTACCACCCTCCTTGGTGCGGGTTAGTGGATGCCAGAGGGGCATAGAGATGGGAGCACGGAGGTTACAATACATTGGACATTGATGCACTGTCTTTTTGCCGTCATCTATGTAAAGAAGAGCCGACGCAAGGTTGCAGGGGGTTCGTCTTTTAATCCTTTTCTCCCATCCACACCTGTCCCCAGCCGTCCCAATCTCGTTCCCGCCAACCAACCCCTTCTTCCCGCCCGTTCTCTCCCTTATATCTCCTCACCTGCTCCTCCCCCTTCTCCTGTCACCGTCCCACCAACCCTTCTATTGGTGGGAATCCTTCCTCTGACACCCCTACATCTACACAGCACCGGAGTGCTCTACTTCTTTATTTTCATGGGTATTTGTGGATAACAGAATGTGTCAATTGCACCCTTACATCATGGCGAATAAGACGAGTTCTACTGCATAGTTGATTTGGTTCTATGGGGAGCATGGTTACATAAACCTTGCACCCGTTCTCTTTGACACAAACACTGGAGGCACGTCAATTCTGGCCCCCTCTGGAGGAAAGCACCGCCGCAACTACGAAAGGAGCAAAGGAATGACAGCCAGAAGAAGTGGCAGCAAGGGAGAGAAAGACGGCAGGATGATCTCACGCACTGGTGTGGCGAGCTTGTATGTATGAACTTATTTCGCACCATACGTAACCAACCGTGCTATTCGGAGGTGCGGGGGAAGAACAACAAACTAAACACAAAAAGCAGTTATAAAGAAATGAGTTTTGAATCTAGATTTAAAAGTGCATAGCTCCAGTGGCTTCCTAATATCGGAAAGGAAGGGCATTCCAGACGGCCGTAGAAGCACACCTGAGAGCACGTGATGCAGTGACCATCTTTGTTCGATGGTCAGCCAAAACAAGCTTGGCATGGGCCCCTGGTGCTTGGAATAATATTAGGCCTTCTCCACGCCTATTCCAAAATTATTGAGCAGCCGGAGGGGACCGCGCGAGCTCCCCAAGTGCAGCCAGAGTGGCCGCGGGCCCGATAGCCGTGCCAAGGTCCTCACCGCCACGATCTGCTGCAGGAGCCGTTGGTTCTGCTCGCTGAGCTCGCGAAGTGCCCGCGACTTCTCACGGTCAGTCTCCAGGCTGCCCTGCTGCTTCCTGTCCAGCTCCTGGCGCACGTGGGTCAGCTCCACCTCCAGCTCGGCGACGCGGCCCTCCCACTCGCTCTCGCGCACCTCCAGCCGCCTCACTGCTCCATGACGCTCTTGCTCCAGGCGCTGGGAAAGTCGACGGGATACAGGGGGAGGGCGTTTGCAAAAATTACTCACAGGAGTCGCGTGGCAATCTCAGAACTCCCCGCAGGAGTTTTCGCGGTTTGCGTTGTGAAGCTTTCCGTTGTATTTCGAGGTTGTCGTTCGGCGTGGCCTCTGACGTTTGGCTCCACACGCTGGTTAGTTTCTTCGTCGGAAGCGGAATTTAGTTCTCGAAGAAATGTGGGGGTGGGGGGTTTATGATGATCAATGAGCAGTGCTCGTCAAAGCATCAGCAAGGCAGGGAGAGAACCAACAGCAACACCCACGTTGCATGCATTCTTCTCGCAAGGAGCTGACTTCAGTTCCTCAAGAAAGCACCCATTACGTGGAGCGAAGCGTCAGACATCGTGCTGAACAACACGTGGTACAAAACCGAAAATCCATCTGAAGGCTACAATTACAGAACGTTTCCCCGGTTTACCATCCAATTTTAAATATCAGAAAAACTAGATAATTTATTCAAATAGAAGTTTTTTTTAGGAATTTGAATAAACAGATGAAAAAAGTCCTTCCAAGAACATATCCTCCTGATAAGACGAACAAAAGTACGTCCGCTATATATTGTACTTCAAAAAATATTAATTATCGATGCAGTGAATACATTTTAATTTGAATAGGTTACACGTGATGGATTTATATTCAATTGCAGACGTTACAATCGTGAACAAACTGTAAAACTATCTTGTCATCTTCGGCTAGATTCCCTCGCACAAAGTGCTGTACATGCTAAACCACAATTTTATGACGAACACGGAGGGCTGCAATATAGGAGACCGAGGATGTTAATTTGTGTGACAAGTCTCAGTCATATTTACAGTGACGATGTCATGTTTACACGGCAATGTTGCCTCGATTCGAAACCAGTTGTTAACCTCTTCTTTCAGCGTTTCTGACTATCCCTCAGGAGGTGCATTTGTTAACACGGTAAACACCCACACACAGGAGGAAGTACACAGCTTTGATCCAAAGACGCCCAAGCTCATTAGTCAAAGGAAGGATTGAATGCACCAAGCAAAATTGTGTCATCCAGTGCCCATCTGACACACACACGTCACACACACTAGCAACAAAACACGAAATGTAAGCACATTGTGCATGCACATCGACGGATGCCAAACATTTGATGAGATCATTTACGTTGGTTCATAGACGGGGTGATGTGGGTTTTAGCTTTCGTTTCATCTGAAATTCAATCAGAGATTCAAAAAGTGTCGTGTTGATTTTAGTTTTTTTCAAGAGTTGTCAAGTTATGTTACCTGGGACCTCCCCCACTCATGCCCCCAACTTAGCTAACCGTCACTGACCAGTGTGGTAAAGTATGGTCAAACAACTTCCACAAGAAGCCCTGCATGACGATGTCATAATCCAGTATTGTAGTCGATTGACAAAGGGCTCAACATTATTCCAGTTCAGTGGTATTTTTAAGAGTTATCTATGATGTAAGTTAACGTTTCTGCCCTGGAATTAAGTGCTTACTAACCCAGTTGCAATTTGTGTTAAAAAGTAGGAATTAACATTTTTTAAAAGTATTTTCAATTGGCAAACGCTGTTATTTAATTACAAACTAAGAGAAGCTGCCCATTGGTTCGTAAATTTCAGTTAATCATATTAACATAATGCATTCCCTAAACTGTCATAACGGAAGATTCAGATAAAGAAAAACAATCTGGATGACGAAGGCAACTTGTAAAACATTACCCCAACTTTAGGAAGTAGATCAACTTATTTCAGGCAATGCCCATTGAACTTAAGCAATGCTTTTATAATGGCATCTGAGAAGATCCGGGGGAATACCTTGCAACACAAAGCCTTTACACAATGATGGACTGTAAAAAATGTTAATTCACTGTACTGGCAAAGATTCATGAAATATAATGCATCTTAATGACAGATTGTGTCAGCAAAGCAAATCATTCCATCTCACACTAAATCTATCCAAAGTGAGTCAGCCAGTTTCTAGTGGGGGTACAGCTGTGGGTATGGAACATTATTCATGAGTCTGTTAACATTTTTCATAATAGGTTATTTAGTGATATGTATTACTGTACTCTTTGGTTCTTTCGGTAAAGTCACGTAGGTATAGTGCGTTAACCACGTTGCCACCGCTCCACTCGGCTTAATAATAACCAGACATTCACACGTATCTACTTGTCAAGGTTGTCAGTCGCCCTTGTGCAACATGAAACTTCACAGGCACTCCTTGTGTGAACCGCAGGTGCATATCTCAGTGTTATTAGGAATTTTGAAGACCGTATTTCCCTGCAAAGCCAACAGCCTATCAGAGGCAACGTATGACTGACACAACTGGGATGTTAACCACAACACTCAACGACACTCGTACCCTGGCACGCACGACGTGCCCACAATGTAACACTTTTAATGTGGACAGCGCATTGCATAAGACCACATTTCTACCCTCCCCTTACTGAATTTGAAAGCAAAACGTTGGGGGTGTACTTTACAAATCTGGTGTGCGAGACCAAATTAGTACACTTTATAGAAACCGGGGAACATGCGTGCAGGTTCATCTTTCTTTTAGGAGAATACGTCACACTGTGTTAATGTACATCCGCGAATGTACGTGGACGACATTACTTGTGTACAATGTAATGCATCCAGAATACACGATACGGCCACCTTCATTGGCCACGAATTATCCACTGCAGGATGACGGCCACCCCAAGCCGTTGCAATTACTCAGTCGCACAACATTACCAACCCCAGATTTGAAGCTTTCGTGACTGCAATGATTCATATTCTTAGGTTTTTTCGGTAAAGTCACGTAGGTAAAAAATGTAAATTAGGGTTGTGCTGTGACGGTTCCACCTGAAGACGGAAGCTTGCGTTGCCTCCGAAACGTCGTGATTTTTATTTTATTTTTATTTTACTTTATTCATTTAAATTTTAAATTTTTACCTACGTGACTTTACCGAAAAAACCTAAGAATATTACCAACCCCCACATCTAGCTGCGGCACACGAGCAGAAGTCATTGCTTCATCTCGTGGGTAAAAACAACGTCTGGGGCCTGTGCCCTGCTGTGGCTGCCACTCTGTCCTTAGTCTTGACCGTCGCCCATCATCCATTCGAGCGACGCGTCTTTCTTTGTCGAAACCCAACCTTATACTTTCTTTACAGTCAACGTCACGTCTCTCTAACTTGTAATTGCTCTCTAAACCTTCTCTCAGTTGAATTTCCAAGCAGTCGCCAGAGTACACAGTAGAGAATATAGGTGCAATATATAAAAATGTGTACATCCCATCTAAATTTTTTAAAATGTCCGTGAAATGTATTTACAGTAAAGCGTTACCATCATCTAAAACGAGTGGTCCCTGTTCTACACAGCTGTGTACACTATTGACAGAGGCACGTTGTGCTGCGTAGCCCGTCTAAAATTACAGGCACTGTATACAAAATACACAAGGCAGAAAGGTAGCAACGTAACGACGAAGCATGTTCAGAACCGTGCGTTTGAGAGTATTTGGCTGCAATACATCTCCACACGTGATAAGCCATTTCGTTGAGCTCTCATTTCTGATAGCCAGGTCGCTTCTAGACAATACGTTACAGCTCAGTGGGCCTTACCTGGTAAAATAAAATAAAAACTATTCTAATAGTTTAGCGTGCTCAAAACACCAATAGATTTAAGGTTGGTCACTATTAAGTCACTTTCACCACGAACAAAATTCTGTCTTTTTTTACTTTCGGTAAAGTGTTGCGATCGAAACGTCGTGGATTTTTTGCTTTTATTATTATCAATTTATTATTTTTATTTCATTTAATGTTATTATCTTTAATTTTATTTTCTATCTACGTGACTTTACCGAAAGAACCAAGCATAAAAATTCTGTATATTAAAAAAGCACATATAAACACATGTAGAAGTACCGTATTCAATCTAGAAGTATTATGAATGTTTGGAACTCCTGTATTGATGTTGCTGGAATCAGCCAAACGAGAGCACGCATCCAAAGGGACGACCAACGTGGGCATGGAGCGATGAATGAGATCAGTTCATGTGCAAGGAGTGAGACTGGTGGCAGCAGCACTTGACTGTGATGGATGGCCATTACAGGCCTTCATCCAGCAGTGGATAGTCAGTGGCTCACGGTGATGATCAGAATCTTCATTTAAAGTGGAAGAATCCGATGAGCTATAACGCATATTTTTCACAGGATGTCAAGTCGGGGCGGGTCACAAAGTTACAACGAACAAGACGATACAACAACACGACAGGAGTGAACAGATGAATTTGGTTGGTATCACTCGGTAATTTTAAGTGCATACCTGTTCATCCATACGGTTTACGCCGTATTCTTGTACACAGGGAAATTGAGTTTTCAGGTACATACGTCGTACAGCCGTTTCAATACGGGCAAAAGCTTTTCTTTGCCTATTTGTTCGCGTTTCTCCCTTATGATATGACTTTGTAGGATTGACGTTGAGATCCATAAGGGCACCGGGGTGACCAATAAGGTCTGAATTGGTCTGTAATAAAGGTAGGCACTGACAAGGGGTTTACAGGTATGTAAGTGGGTAATGTCATGGCCAGTAGGAACACAAGTGGGGGGACGACGGGGGGAGGGGTCAGCTTCCCCCCCCCCCGTGACCTTTGACAGAGAGGTCAGCTATCTGCTGCTCTCCCATGGCTGGCCACTCATGAGCTCCCATGGCTACTTGTCCCCCCCCATCTCCCCCCGACTCTAATAAACAACAAACCAGGTTTCACCAATGATTGGAAAATACTGCGTTGGCAGCAGTGCGCACAAGCAACATTGACAAAGCAACAAACAAGCTCACAATTCGTCAATAAAACCATCTTCAGGTTCTATACAGTATAACAGGCGACGTTTCAGGCAATGGCCCGATTTGTGTGTCAGGAAGAAATGTTACCAGGTAAAGCCCACTGAGCCATACTGTATGGCTCTTGTTCAGAAACGACCTACCCCGAAATGATAGCTCAACGGAGTAGCGTATCATGCGGAACTGTATAGCAGCCAAATATTCGAAACGCATGTTAATTCTAAACGTGGAGGGGGAAAAAAACCGGAGAACATGGAGAACAAGCCACGCGACCATGGGTGAAGAGACATGCAAACTCTCAACATACAGGCGTCAGGGTCGGGATCGAACCCATGACCTCCTGCAAACCAGGCGAGGTAGTTACCATCTCGCCACCATGGCGCCCAAATATGGCCAGCATATGTCAGCGCACGAAGTGGGTTATTGAACCCGGACTGTGTGGAGCTTCGAATCTTCACCCTAGCATGCGCGACGGGTGTTCTCCAATGCAGCTACAGTACACATACCCAAGTATCCTCAGAGAGCAAGACAATGATGAACGAACACCGAGCTTGTGAGCGCAGGTGAATGGACCGTAATTGTCTACCCTGCATCAAACACCAGCGGCGAGGGAGAATGCGCGCTTACCCCATTTGGCACCCGAATGAGCTCCCAGTACCGTGGCGTGAAACGTCGGACATTTGTGGCGAGCAACAACCCGCGAAACACACGTCGGAGATCGAGCACAGTTAAAAAGAAGTAATACTACAAAGATCCAATTGCAGGAACTATTTTGACGTTTAAGAGCTTGTGTTGGTCTTGGTCAGTTCTTAATTTCAGCATGAACTGGGGTTATTTTGGCACGGCACAATCTGTGTTGCCTTATCTTGTCCTCATTCTACCCTATATCCCTGTAAACATAAGCATAGGGCCATCGAAGTATAAAGTGCTATAATACAGGGTTCCCTGTGTTATGGACAGTAGCGCCTCACTCAAGATAGCCAAGCCCTACTTGTCACCGACCGATATATTAAACCGTTAATATAAAAATACACAAATATCCCAACACACATCGGAAGCTGCATTGTGAAGTGCGATCAATACCTTGACCGTGCGGTCTCGCTCAGCTGTGAGTCTGTTGCGTGGACACACACACACACAACATACGGTGCGCTGTGTCGCACACACACACACACAATTACCTCCATCCTCTCGATCAGCTCGGTCTGCTGGATCTCCTTTGTCCTGCGAAGTTCTTGGTTGTTCTCCAGCAAAGCCTTTCCCAGCTCGGCTAGCCATCACCAGCTCCGACTCTTTCTGGCGGAGCAGCTCAAGGAGTTCCTGCTCGCTGCAGTCGCCCTTCTGATCCTCCTGCTGCTGCTGTTGATGGTGGTGTTGGTGGTTGTGTTTCGCATCTCCCACTTCGTCTCGCCGCGGAGGAGCCGTGGTCTCTGCCATCTCGGCTTCAGCGGTGGAGTTTATTTAGCACAAGACGGATGAGTATACACCTACCCAGCTACTATATAGAGCGGCGGTGACTACGTGTACGCGCACCGGCTACACCTACCCACCTATCACTACCTGCCTTTGCGTCGTTCCCGGCACACCTGCCTTCCGAACCTCTTAACGCTTTCAATGCGCTTCCAATAACGCGAGAACACGTGCACGTGTGCGCAGGCTATCGTTGAAAGGCAAAAAAAAATATTTTAAAAAATTCTTGAAACCTCCAAACTCTACGAACCACCACCAAAATCTGCGCTGTGTCCACGCAGCGAGTCCTGTGTTCGATTTAAAAGCTGCGAAAGAACCAGAAAAGCCGGACGCGTCTCCTGCTGCTGCTGCTACTCACTCCTTCCTCCTCCTCCTACCCAGTTGTCGAATAACAAATGAATGAATGATACGCGGACCAAGATACAGAGAGAAAGAGAGAGGCTGGAGGAGGAGGACCCGGACACCACCCGGGGGAGGAGTAGGAGGATGAGTTTGTTGCTGCTGCTGTTGGAAGACCGCGGATCATTTGGCGGTGACAAGTTCAGCCCTCACCGTACGCAGTCGCTGGGCAATGATTGCGCAGAGCCGAGCGCGTCACGATCCCACCAGCCCCGGCTGATAAGGTGGTGGTGGGGGGGGGGGGTGCAGGGTGGAGAGGGAAACTTGTTCTGCGTGAATAATTACTGCTGCTGCTGCTCCGACTACGAGTATTGCTCCCACTAATAACCACGACAGCAACACGAGTGTGCCTGCCTACAAATGAGCGGCGCTCATCCCCTTTGAACGGCTTTTGGAGGACGAAATCAAAGGAACAGACCGTACGGGACAGAGCTACGAAAAGGCAGCATTTGGGGGGTTACGTCTCGAGCCGCGCTCGTTACAATTCTGTGTTTGTGTTCTTCGTGGTTTGTCTTGTTTATTAAAACAAAAGTAATCGATTCTAGATTTGAAGTTTTCGTGACTGCAAGGATTCATATTCTTAGGTTTTTTCGGTAAAGTCACGTAGGTAAAAAATAAAATTAATAAAAGTAACGACGTCACGTGATTTTTATTTTATTTTTATTTTACTTTTATTAATTTAAATTTTTTTACCTACGTGACTTTACCGAAAAAACCTAAGAAAAAGTAATCGAATGATGACGCGATGGTCATCTCGCCTCTGGGAGAGGTGAACGCTGTCGGAAACGTCAAAACGCACGCCACGTGCCGTCCACAACCCCGAACTCGGCCCTTGGAGCCACTGCCAACGCCATCTCTTCCACGCACACAAAGACCCCCCCCCCCCCCGCCGCACTCATCCCCGTATAGCTTGAAGCGAGAGACTGTTGGGGCAAGTGCTGTTAACGAGGTGCACATATGAAAGCCGGCTCGATACGCGAGAGAGAGGGGGGGAGGCCAGCACCACGCCCGGCCTCCTCTTGTCTCCCCGCTCCTGATGTGTACCGCACCAGCAGGTACTCATTTGTGGCTGAGTCGACCTAGGGGGCAGGGGAGGCACAGGGACCGCGGCTGCAGCTTGTTCGTCGCCGGCGTCGGCCGTGAGCGGGAATCGAACTGTGCAGGTCAGGGGTTCGTGGCGCAGCGCGCTAACCACTGCGCCACCGCTCCCCATACACCAACCCCCCCCCCCCCCCCCTGTCACCCGTGAGTGACACAGGGCACCACAACACACCGTGTCTGTCCCTCGGCTACTGGCGTCACAATCCGGACCCCCCCCCCCCCCCCCATAAACGACGTTACGCGATTTTTTTACCCCCCCCCCCCTCGTCACACGGCGTCACAAAAAGTCAGACCCCCGTCAAATATGACGTCACAAAGCTCTGCCCCCCCCCCTCCCCCCGCAAAACCATATTTCCATTTTTTAAAGAAAACCTGCTTCAATCGCTTTAAACTATTGTCATTGTAGTACGTATTTAATGTGGCGCTGCACTCTGATGTTGTAGGAGAAAACATGTATTAAAAAGTCGATTTAATTAAGTAGAACGCGTTGTCTATATTTATTTAAAGTTGCGCATTTTAACGTGACGTCACACTCCCCCTCCCCCCTCGTCATACATCGTCACAAATGTCTGCACCCCCCTCTTCTCCCCTAGGTGCGTGACGTCATTTATGAACGGCCCCTGTGATTGGCCCGTGGCAAAGCACCCGAGCCCAGGTGCGTGGGATCAACAACTCCCCCACCTCCTGGGGTGCTTCGCGTGCAATGTTCAGTCGTTTTGTTATGGCAACGACTTCGCCCCGCGTTGTCTGTGGACGTGGTACGAGCGGTGGCGCGGTGGTCCGCACTCTGCGCCAACAAACAAGAAAAACCGGAGACCCCCACTTTCGCTCACGCCCAATGTTAGCGGTCTTGGGCCTCCCCTAGGTCGACTCAGCCTCAAATGGGTACCTCGTGCGGTGTATAAACATCGCCACTGGGGAGGCAAAGGCGGTCGGGCACGGTGTTGGTGGCCACCAAACCCCCTAGTGTACCGTTACGGCTTTCATAGGTGTTCGCTAACAGCACTTGCCCAACAGTATGTTAAGGTTATACGGGGATATCTGTGTTTGTGTTGTGGGGAGCGGTGGCGCAGTGGTTTGCACACTGCGCTAATAACCCGAGTTCAATTTCTGCTCACGACAAATTTTAGCAGCGAATATTTGAACCGGTCCTGGGCCTCCCCTAGGTCGACTCAGCCTCTAAGTAGATAAGTACCTGGTGTTGTTTAAATATCAGCAGTAGGGAGACAAAGACGGCCGGGCGTGGTGTTGCCCACCAAATCTATCATGTGTCGTGCTGGCCTTCATACGTGCTCGCTAACAGCTGTTCATACCTGTCAACCCCTTATCAGTGCCTATCTTATTACAGACCAATTCAGACCTTATTGGTCACCCCGTGTCCTTATAAATCTCAACGTTCATCCTACGAAATCCCATCACAAGGGAGAAACACAAAGAAATAGACAAAAAAACATGTTTTGCCCGTATTGAAACGCTGTACGCCGTATGGACCTGAAAACTCAATTTCCGTGCACAAGAACACGGGGTAAACCGTATGGGTTGACAGGTGTATGGCTGTTTCCTCCAACAACCTGTTCGGGTCATACAGGGGCTCTTTATCGTGTGTGTGTGTGTGTCTGTGGGCGTGTCTGCAGGTAGGTAAGGTCTAAAGGTTTTGAGAACAAGGCACTAAAAATAGTTGCTCAAGACCCAACTTGAAATGGCGAAGGTGACCTATGTTGAAATCACACCTTCCTTGTGAACTTACCCGAAATAAAACGGCGTGCCAACTCACGCTACAGGTGATATTGCGCGCGGTGCGTCTAAAAAAAGAAACTTCTAAAAATAAAATAAGAATGTGCGCACTTGCGTTTGTTGACTGATTTTAAAGTTTGCCGGTTCTCCTAGTATCGAAACAAGTTAATAACCAGCTTAAACCGGGCGCGTATCAACCAACGCAGTACTATGAACTCCGATTACCTGTTAAAAACAAAAACCTCGATTTAAAGCTTTCGTGACTGCAGGGATTCATCTTCTTGGTTTTTTTCGGTAAAGTCACGTAGAAGGGAAATAATAAAATAATAATAGATAATAAAAATTAAACATTATATTTAATTGTTTAATTATTATTATTTTATTATTTCCCTTCCACGTGACTTTACCGAAAAAACCAAGAAGAAAAACAAAACCCTCACTGAGTTTCAAAGCTCTTCTTTGGAAGGGATCCTGGCTACGTTGGGAAGTTTGGCCAACACCATTAAATCAGCGATCGGGCTGCCCGTGAGAGGAAGCAAGTGAAGTCCCACCATGCACTCATTCGAAGGTGGTGGGAAATGGGGGGGGGGATAACCCTCATCACTTCCCTCTCGTGTCCTCGTCACCTCGCAGCTTTGCCCCATCTATTTGTTCTTCTTCTCTTGCTCTATGTTATTTTCCTAATCGCCTTGTTTGCACGTAGGGTTGTGGGTGTATAATGTGCATAATGAAGTTCGCACACGTCCCTTGCCGAGTGTAGAGATTCGAGGAAGGACTTTTGTACCCAGTTTATAATGATGGTGTTGACGTCTGTGCACCCTGTTGAAGCTCGTTATTGTTTCCACAGATCCGGGTCACCGTGCATCGTCACTCATTTCATGTACAATCGCTGTTAAGAGTGTGATCCTAATCTCAGCTCGTTACCTGGGAGCCAGAAATCTTTCTGATTGAGAGGGGGTCAAATACGTATTTCCCTCATTAAAATGCAAATCAATTTATAACATTATTGACATGCGTTTTTCTGGATTTTGTTGTTGTTATTCTGTCTCTCACTATTCAAATAAACCTACCATTAAAATTATACACTGATCATTTCTTTGTCAGTGGGCAAACGTACAAAATCAGCAGGGGATCAAATACTTTTTTCCCTCACTGTACCAGTGCACTAAGATTGTGCTTAAAAAGCTCATTTACTCAGTTTAACATGTTGGCTTTCGCGACCAATATTATTCATAATACAGTTTTTGGGGGGGTTAGATCGCGTAAATATATAAATGTGTCATTAAACCCGCCACTACCCGACACAGCCAATTAGTAATGTTTGTCATGTAAACAGAACATGCCATTCCGTTTGGAGAGCAAAGCCACAACATTTCCAATCTGAGTACGACGTTTCGCCAGTAATTAGAACTAGCTTCATTTGTGAAAAAGTCCTCCTGTTTCGTTCCTTAAATAGAGGAGTATAAGTGAGGTGTAGCTCTTTACTGCATGGTGGATGAGAAATCCCGATACTCCATTTTCTCGTTGAGTCCATTGGATATTTTCTTTAACAGGGGGTATATATGCGTGCTTCATTTTTCTCTCCATGTAATTTCCAAGCATTAACCTTTCCATGCATCTACGCTACTTCTCTGGCCTCTATGTGCTGCGAAGGTTCATTGCCTGAAACGTCGCATGTTATATATTTGTTTTCAATTTAAGGCAGGGGTATTGACGAATGTGTTGAGTTTTATTTGGGCACTTATCAGTTTTCCTTCCACCTACTTTGTCGACGTCCGTGATAACGTGGGTAGGAGAACACACGCAAGCTAAAGACATCATGTAGACTGCTAAGAAAAACAAGTGGCATTGGTTGGGCAGGACACCTCGTTCGAATGGATAACGACCGATGGTCAAGACGGGCGTCGGAGAGTGGCTGCCAAAGGAGAAAAGGCAACCGAGAGGGACCGTCCACTGCAGAGAATGATGCCGCAATTGATTCAGATGGTGTGCAGGTGCTAGATGAATTGCCACATTGCAAGACTGTGGTGTACGGTGAGGGTTTGAGGTCTTCATCCACGAGTGGATTGATCATGGCCGCTGCGGCTGCTGTCACGCACTTCCCGACGACCTCTAAACACAAGATAATTGTGACCACACTAAAATAAGTAATATTTAAAAATACTTTTTTAAAAACACGCTTTTATGAAATGTACCCTACTAGTAATGGCAGAACTCCACGACTCCAGGAAGTGGCCCCGAAGCTTTCCATAACGTAAGGGACCGTGGCCAATTACAGCCAACGCCAGTTTACCGTGGACAATTAGACCCAA